CATTATATTAGTAGTTTCTGTGCAGTAGGCAGCACTGTTTTGTGAGGTATCATTCATTTCTCTGACCTCACTGGAACAGGTACTAGAGAAGTATTTTTAAAAGAGTTAAAATAGAGGGAAAGAATAAAAAGAGAGAACACAGAAAATCTTTAGGGAAAAAAATGTAATAGTAAATCTTATTACTGGCTATTAGCATAACTAATTTTTCTTTAGCATGGAAACACTCCCCAACTAAATTTTATGAGATTAGCATAAGCTTAATACAAAAACATGACAAGAGGAATATGAAAAAGGGCAATTAAAGGCCATTCTCAATCATATATATATAAATGAAAAAATTCTGTGCAAAATATTAGCAGTGAGTCTAGCAATGTATAAAAAGTTATACATTGGGGCTGGCCAAGTGGTGCAGTGATTAAGTTCACGTGCTCTGTTTTGGCGACCTGGGGTTCACTGGTTTGGACCCCAGGCCAGACCTAGGCACCACTCCTCAAGCCATGCTGTGGCAGGTGTCCCACATATAAAGTAGAGGAAGATGGGCACAGATGTCAGCTCAGGGCCAGTCTTCCTCAGCAAAAAGAGGAGGATTGGCAGCAAATGTTAGCTCAGGGCTAATCTTCCTCAAAAAAAAAGTTAGACGTTATCACCAGTTCCAGGAATGCCAGGTTAGTTTTGTGGAATTTATCCCATTAAAAACTCTTAGAAAACTAGGGAAAGAAGAAAACTTCCTTAATCTCTAAAAGACATCCATAAAAATTCTGTGGGAAAAGTTATGCTTAAAAAGAATACTGTCAATGTTTAACTGTTAAGATTGGGAGCTTATTCAGTAGTGTACTGGAATCCCAGCCAGTGCAGTAAAGCAAGAGAAAGTAATGAGAGAATAAGAATTTACAAAGTTCTTGTATACTAAGTCAGTACACAAAAATGTATTTTGCATTTCTATACTTCAACAAAGAATTAGAAAATGAGATTTTTAAAAAGAGGTACGTAAATAGAGATACCTTGTTCAGGAATACTAACACAAAAGATTTTATGTTCTTCCCAAATTTCTAGATTAAGTACCGCTCATCAACATCCCAACAGAGTATCACTTACGTTCATCAAGGAATCAAAGTTAATCCAAATGAGGTAGTTGTGTAGCTGTTAACTGCAAACTGATGCCCCCTTTGAGAGCAGTTTGGGGGTCCATTTCAGGTACATTTTATGAAATAGAAATTTGACACTATTGAAGCCTATCATCCATAGACTTCCTAGAATCCTTACATATTTGAAGACCATTGACATATGTCACTTTCTTCCATGTAACAAGTAAAATTTGCCTTTTTTAAAAAGTGACTTCAGAATCTTCAGAAAAGGACAAAGCTGTGAATTTATAGATACCAGTCCAGGTTTTACTTACCTGTTTGCCTTCTGGTGACCAAGACCGCTTCCTTCCTCTTTTTCTAGATACATAGTCTCATATTCTGAACAACCGTCTCATCTTTATTTTTTTCCATCCAATCTTAGGTTTTTGTTAAAATGTGGTTTTGTTTTGGTTTTTTGATGTATGAAATGGGAAGATCTTTTATCCTTATTTTTCTTTCTCCACTGAACTTATTATGTTCTCTCTCCATGTTTTCATCGTAGCAAAATGTTTCATTGCCACACACAAATCTAACTCAGTGATTTCAAGCATGGACTCTGGACTCAAACTGCTGGAAATGAAATTTGGCTTCACTATTTACTAGCATTATGATCCTGGGGAATTTAAACTTCTCTGTTTTCTCATCTGTAAATTGGGGAGATGGGCATAATGGTGTCTGTCTCATAGAGTTGTTATGAGAGGATTAAATAAGGTTAATATTTATTAAGTTTGACAGCAAGGTTTAGCTGTGTATTTTGATAAATAAACACTAGCCTGGTTTTCATAACCTAGCAAAATTTCAAACGTGCAAATTCAGATTCTTCAGTGTCAAGGGTTAGTGAGAACACTGATTTGTTTTGTTTTAGAAACTTAAGCTCAGCTAACATTGGCTTTTGAGTGACTTCTGTGTGGCAGCCAATGCTAGAAGTAGGTATTCTTGAATGTTAAGTATATACAATGAAGAGTGTGTGCATGATCTGGTTCAAAACAGTAAGAACAGACACATCCATGTAGTTGGTAAATAGTAATTTATAAAGTCGGTCAGCTGATTAATTGTACAGTAAAGAGGAAACATTTTTAAGCCCAAGAAGTTTAACTCTTTTTGAAACAGGACTTCCTGGGCCCTTCATATACATTTCCATGCTTTTAGAAAATACCTTTTAATAATCTATACAGAGTGGAATTTAATTTTCCAGTGATAATTCATTGAGTACTACAGATGAAAAATATCTAAAAAATTTTAAAAATTAGAGAGTTTGTAGGGAATATGTTTAAATTTAAATTTCTTGAAAAATTGAAATATATGAAGTTTTTATTTTAGAAATTTAAATATTTTGAATACTTGACTGCTCGTTTTCATGTTTAATATATTAAAATTTAAAGTATATTCAATTAGATTTTAAAATTTACTTAGAAGTATTAACTCAGTTTCATTTTATTTAAATATACAAGTTGCTAGACAATAGCATCTCTTTATTTTGTTTCGATTGATGGGAAGAAATTCAAGCAAAATAAATCTACATTAGAGTAAAACTAAAAATATTTTTATACTTTTCAAAACATTGTCCCCCCCCCCAAAAGAAATGAAAGCAGAGACTGGAACAGATGTTTGTTCACCCATGTGCATAGCAGCATTATTCACAATAGCCAGAAAGTTTTCTTCGACAGATTAATGGATAAACAAAATGTAATATATACATACAATGGAATAATATTCAACCTTTAAAAGGAAGGAAATTCTGACACATGCTACAACATGCTGAACCTTGCAGACGTTATAGTAAGTGAAATAAGCCATTCACAAAAGGACAAATGTTGGATTATTCCACCTATTTGAGGTGCCTAGAATAATCAAACTCAAAGAGACACAAAGTACAGTGGTGGTTGCCAGGGGCTGAGGGAAGGAGAGAATAGGGAGTCCATTGCTTAATGAGTGCAGAGTTCCCCTTGCGGAAGATGCAGAAGTTCTGGAGGAGACCAGTGGTGATGATTGCACAACAATGTAAATGTACTTAATGCAAAAGAACTGTAAGCTTGAAAATGCTTAAAAGGATAAATTTTATATTATGTATATTAAACCACAATTTAAAAAACAAAACATTGTTTCCCCACAGACCAGGAGGTATAGAAATCACTCATTTTGGAAAACTGAGAAATGGGAATCTTTCTTACCCCCTTACGAATACCTCCACTCCCTTCCCCCACCTCATCACTGCGCCCACTCCCCCCATTACAACTCATAAACTGTGACTTACTGAATATAAATTAATGCGCTTCTTTAGGTGCTTTGTTTTTAGTGGTGGGGGAACTTTAAAAATCTCTGAAGTTTTTCAAATTACGAATTTCTTCATTCTTTTACAAGCTGTGGAAGATTGAGTGAATCTGATGCTTACAAGAAGGAAAAGAAGTTTAGTCATAAAGTTTTAAAATTAGAAGAAACCTTAATATCTAGCTCAAACTCTTCATTTTATAGAAAAGGAAAATTTGGTAGAAAAGGTTGACTTCCCTAAAGTCACCAACTTTTTAGTAGTGAAACCAGAACTAAAATCCAATTCTCTTAATTCTTAGCTTAGTGTTTTATGCACTGCACTGTACTCATTGGAAGAATTTACTGAGTAGAATCGCTAATTGCTTTACTGGACCAAATAGTTAAAGCTGTACCATATCCTTGAATATTTGTTAAGTATCTTCTCTTCCCATTGAAGACGGTAAACAGAACACATTTGTTTATTCCATAGACAGAGATGGATGGATGTGTGTGAGAGAGAAAAAGAGAGAGAGATTGAGAGACTTGAGACTGACTCTCAAAGTATTCTACATCCAGAAATTTTCTTTATTTTAGTAGTTACAGGAGTTCCAAGCCTGAGGCCAGTCAGTCCTGTTCAGACTAGAAGTCTTCTAGGTCAACAGGCTTACACAAATATAAAGGGAACTCAGTTTAGTTTTTGCTCATAAATATGAACAGTCAATGAAGAAGCAGTCCAACAGCATGAAAATACAAGATGAACAAACAGAAGGAACAAACATTGTCTAAAAAACACTTATGGACAGAACAACAACAAAAACTTGTCTTAGTATTCTAAGAGAGATTTGAGAGGTTATTGTACCCATAAAATAAAGAGTTTTAATGTTAAAGTTGATTTTACACTCTAGAATGCTAATGTAGTGATCTGTAAGATAAACTAGAAAAAATTCCCTAGAACATAGAGCTGAAGGAGATGGGGGAAAGGAGAGATAAGTTTATAGGTATGTTGGATAGCCCAGGATCCCTAAATAGGAATTCCTGGTGGAATAGACAAGCTAGAGAGGAAGTAATCAAAGAAATAGTAGAAGAAAACTTCTCTGAGCTAAAGCAAGTCCTGGGTTTTAGATTAAAAGGATCTGTTAAATACCAAGGAGAATGGATGAAAAATAACACACACTTAGATATAGTATCATAAAATTTCAGAGCTAAGGATAAAGGAAAATCTCATAAACTTTTTTGTGGGAGAGAGATGAGACTCACGTAAACAGAAATCATGGGCCGGCCCGGTGGTGTAGTAAAGTTCCCACATTCTGCTTCAGTGGCCTAGGATTCAGATCTCAGGCGCAGACCTACACACCGCTTGTGAAGCCATGCTGTGGTGGCATCCCACATACAAAATAGAGGAAGATTGGCACAGATGTTAGATCAGCGACAATCTTCCTCACCAAAAACAAAACAAAAATATGATTTACTTTCCCAGGCCTTTGGGAACAAGGCACGGCAAAGTGCTTGGAGATGTATTCCAGCAAAACCAAACAAAAAAGAAGCATACAAAAAGGTTAAAACGTGAGATCAAGAAACAACAGAAGTAGGTGATGAAAAGAAATCCTAGGTAGACAGGCAGCTGTGCTGTGAACTGGCCCAGAACATAATTGAATCCATGTTGTTTTTTGAAGACATTCCTAGAATCCAGTGAGTTGTTTTAATCTGATTCTAAGAATGTCTTCAAAAACAACATGGATTCTCTTGCACAAATTCTAAGAATAAGAAGTTAGAATGTGTTAAATATGATAAAAGCTTATGAATTTTCTGAAAATTAAAAAAAAGGCAGAAACTCCAGGAAAATTAAAGTCTCTTCAGAAAGTCCAAATATGAAGTAAATTGAAACATGCCTTATTTTTGAGCAATTACCACAGTATAAACACCTTAACACTTGGAATTTAGTGACAAAATGACTACTCATTCTCTGGGTTTTATCCACCCTGGTTGGATGGCAGTGTATAATATTGTAAATATTTTTATCGCTGCCTAATTTTTTTTTTTTTAAGAATTGTGTCAGCTCTCAGTCTTTTAACACTTTGAATATATTCTTTTTATGTCTGCAACTTTTTTTTTTTAAGGTATGCTTTTTGGTGAGAAAGATGGGCCCTAAGCTGACATCTGTTGCCAATCTTCCTCTTTTTTTTTCTTTCCCCAAAGGCCCGGTGCATAGTTGTATATCCTAGTTGTACCTCCTTCTAGTTCTTCTTTGTGGGGTACCGCCTCAGCATGGCTTGACAGGCAGTGCTAGGTCTGCACCCAGGATCCAAACCAGTGAACCCCGGGCCACCAAAGGGGAGTGTGCAAACTTAACCACTATGCAACCAGTCTGGCCCACTTGGCCTGTTGCCCAATTTTAAAAAATCAATCTATAGATAAAACACAGTTATAAATAGTTATAAAACAAAATAATAAAAAAACTTAATGTGAAAGTAATTATATAGCCAACATTAATGGTATACGATTACATAGGGAGCCAGTAGAAACTTCCTAAAATTGGTGAAACAAGAAATGGAGATTCATGTATAATATTTAAAGTTATAAAAATAACCAGTAAAGGGCCAGCCCCGTGGCCGAGTGGTTAAGTTTGCACACTCCGCTTCGGCAGCCCAGGGCTTTGCTGGTTCGGATCCTGGACGCAGACATGGCACCACTCATCAAGCCATGTTGAGGCAGCGTCCTACATGCCACAACTAGAAGGACGCACAACTGAAATATACAACTATGTACTGGGGGCATTTGGGGAGAAAAAAAGCAGTGAAAAAAAAAAGAAGATTGGCAACAGTTGTTAGCTCAGGTGCCGGTCTTTAAAAAAATAAATAAATAGATAACCAGCAAAAACTGAAAGTAACAAATCAGAATGAGCAGAGGAGGGAGAAAAATAGGGTAAATTCTCTGAATCTTTCATAATGAAGATACATTATGATAATAGAGGATAAATATACAGTAGTGAAAAACAGGACTAAAAACAAATGACCCGAAGTTGTAATTTCTGGGATTGAGTCTGATTTGAGTTGGGGTTGGAATTAGGGAAGAGACTTTTTGTTTTAAAATTTTTCTTGAATTTATACAAGCATGTGGCCAAATGATTCTGTGAAGATTGTTACAAAAATTGGGAGACCCGGGTCCCCTATCTCCTTGATATATCCCTTCCCAGGGGCATTTACTTTCTTTTGATTCTTTTGATGTTTATATCTCTAGGAAACAATGTTCTATTTCTCCTTCTTGCATGTTGACATCTCGCTTATTGAAAAGGATATAACTCTCCCTCACTGTTGCACGCATCCTTCCCATTCCCCCAACTTCCCCATGTAACCTCCCGTGTTAGTGTCTGTAGGTCTTTCTTTCAGGTTAGTCTGATTCCTCAGAGAGTCCTTCCAATGTAAACCTCTGGTCTTCTGAGTTGGGGAGAGTATCTAGGAAACCGAATTCTTAAATTGACTTTTAACCAGTCTTGTATTAGCTTGGCAGAGAGACGTTTTTATTTTGTAACCTCCTATGAGGTTTGAATTTTTTAAAACCATTTCTTGTAACACTTTTATAATTACAGTGTTATTTTTAAAAATATTAAATCTTAATTATGCAGCTTGTTTAACAATTATTTGAATGTAGTGGTAGTGTTATCACCATGTACATTTCTATCTTTTGACTCTGGCTCCAGTATATTTTACACTAATTTCAGTTGCCTGAGAACAAAGGCTGTGCTGTTTGGTAGTTTTTTTATTTATTGCAACAGCTTAATTTATTTACCACTTGGTGAGGAATGGCTGATTGGATACGTGTTCATGTACAATGTTCACCATAAATAGTTTTATAATCTTTTTTATAACTCTTAGAAGTTCAAAATGAGATACCAATAGTATGAGCCCTCTTTTTGAAAAAGATTGTGTTCATCATTGATAATCATCAATAATCCTTAAATTTTCTGAAATTTATGACTACTTTGATTAGATTATATTGTGCTATAGATGGGTATTACATGGTGTGGAATGTGTTGAGTAAGTGTTCACCTGAAAAGTTTCCCAGAAACAAATTTTACCTCTTAGAAACGTGGAAGGAATAATGTGTATTTGTGGAATGTCTCTACCAATGTACTATGATAGCTTTTCTGTGAACTTTGAGGATGAACATGTTTTGGAAAGTCTTTCAGTAGAGGTGCCAAAAAACTGATGATTAAGTGGGGGAAAACTTGTGTCTGTTCATGTTTTAGCTTATGCTCAGCAACATGTAGAGGTGTGACTTTGAAAGCTAAGCTAATTGCACTTTCCAGTCACCAAACGCTGTATAGGAGTCTGTGATGTTAGAGTATGCAGAAATCCACAACCTGCCCTGCCTATTCCGAAACACTTGATTCCCTCATTAGGCCATTGCTTAAGTGGATCATCAGGAATGTATTTAGAATACTTTGTGGGCTGTGTTCAGAAACTAGTTGGCTAATTGTCACAAATGTTTTTATAGTTTCTTAGGGTTTACTTGCAACTCGAGCTTACAGGGAACCTTTCAAGAACATGAATCCCTTTGACACATCAAAACCATGCATTAAAATGTGTAGGTAGCCTAATTGATTTTCTTGCATTGCTGATTTTTAATAAAATGGCTTTTACATTAGAATTGGGTTGGATGTAATATTTTTGTCAAGATAGATTCTTTTAAAACTGTTGTGTAGGTAATTCACTTAGTTCTATGTAGTTTACAGTGTTCAACAGGAGGGCCTATAAAAATTGCCTGTATGTACTTTGATGGAAAGGCCAGGAAGGAAAGGAGTTCCAGCATTTCAAGCTAGGATGGATAGGAAGCATGGATGCTCTGCCTCTGGACTGCCTGAATTTGAAAGGTTCTAGATCAGCGCTGCCTGCTAGGTCTTTCTGCAGTGATGGAAATGTTCATTCTGTACTGTGCAATTTGGTTGTCACTAGTCACGTGTAGCTAGTGTGACTGCATATTTAATTTTAATTAACTGCATATTTAATTTTAATTAATTTAAGTAGCCATTTGTAGTTAGTGGCACCTATGTTAGTGCAGTAAGTATTAAGTATTAAGAAACGAAGGGAAAGTGTATGTATAGAAATGGCTCCAGTGACCTGTGTAGGACTTCTGATCCAAATTAGTTTGCTTGGCATGGCTTGTAAACTCTTCAGCCTTGATTTCCATCTTCTACTATAATATTGTCATAGATCCCATCTCCTCACTTCTGATCTTTATGCTTAACTTTTTTTTACTAAAAAGCAAGTTCATAACTCACACTAGGATTGAGACTATTTTGATATCTTTGGGAGATGCTTACCATCTTCACCTCAACTTTTTTTCTGTGTCTAACCTCAACTCTTCTCACAAGTGGGAAAAGAGTCTTATTTTGACATTGCCCACTAAGTTTTTTGTATTTGAGACCTATTTCGTTTCACCCGTTGCTCTACTTTCATAAATGCTGCTGCAGATTACATACTAGATCTTAGGGTGGCAGTGCCTGACTAACTTGATGTCCTCCGTAGATACTGAAGGAAGTTTAATTTCCCTTGTTTTTGTTTTTATATGCTCCTAGGCTACTGAGCTGTTATATAATTGACTACTTTTGTATAGTGATATTATGGTGATTTTGTTTGGATCAGTCTATTGAGGTGTGTTGGGCCCTGACCCCCTTGTACAGAACTGACCTAAAATCTGATTTTTTTCCCCCTGCTTTTTTGTAGCTGAATATCTTCTCTGCTGTCACTTCTGGCTTTAGTCCATTCTGATCTTTGCTACCTCTTACTGTTAATAATCAAACATCCACCTCATTTGTCTATTTCTGGTGTTAGTCAGGCTCTCCTATAAATCTAATTTTACTTTACTTTTCTGGTTTCTTCTGTTAGTTTATCTAAAAAACATCAGGCTTTAATTTTTGTTACCAAAGGTAAGTATCAAAAGTGGGTTTGTTTGTTTTTCTTATGGTGGCAAACAGACCACTCTTTACATTTTGTGCAGTCTTCCCTTTTTCAATTATTTTTTGTCTTTGAATGCTCAGAAATTTGTTTATAACTTAAAAAAATAATCTCTAGAAACATGAATCATTAGGACTTCCAGAAGCCTGATTGATAAATAGATGGGCCTACATTTAACTGGAAATAGTTGTAGATTCTCTAGGAGACATGATAAATTCTGACATTCTACAGGATAGAATATGTAGTAGTACTTCCCCAGATTTATCCATGAATGAAGCCAAATTCAAAGTAATTCATCTTGAACATTAGAAAATAGCTCTTAACAAGAAATCTGGTATATCAAAATTTAAGTGACTTATACTACCAACACTCTAAATTGGGTAAAACTTTAAATCAGCATAGATACTATATAGAGCACAGTTGTCAAAATAGCACACAAAATGAAGAAAAGATATAAGCATTTTAAAGTGTTATCTCTAAAACCTTTAAAAGACTTGAGTACTGGTTCTGTTTCTTAGAACAAAATCTTGAACCCTAAAAGAATCAGGTGTCCTTTGTAGATGGTAGTAATATGAGTCAATCTGCATTACCAAGAAACTATTAACAAAGGAGATGGAAGGGAGAGTTTTCTCAGTAATTGTTGTTACGTTAGGAATTGACGAGACATCTCAGTAATACTTCTGTCAGAAGAGAGGAAGGGGATACAGTAGGTCATTCTATTTAGGGACATTTTTAACACTGGTCTTCCTGTTTTGCTGAGAAAATACTCAGATGTTCATCTTTTTTCCTTTGTCATTGAGCAGGAAAA